ACACTCTACCGCTGAGTTATATCCCTTCCCCGCCCCATCGAGAAATAGAACTGACTAATCCTAAGTCAAAGGGTCGAGAAACTCAACGACACTATTCTTGAACAACTTGGAGCTGGGCCTTCTTTTCGCACTATTATGGATATGAAAATAATGGTCAAAATCTAATTCAATTGGCAACTGCCCCTACCGGAAATAGGATTGACTACCAATTCCGAAGGAACTGGAGTTACATCAGTAATCACCAGCTATGTCTGTATTTCAAGAACGCATTTTTAAACAGCACCACCCACCTCCCTCCCAAACAACAGTAATCACCAGTTATGTCTGTATTTCAAGAATGCATTTTCACACCCCCACCCGCACCCCCACCGCCCAATCACCAGCAATGTCTGTATTTCAAGAATGCATTTTTAAACAGCACCACCCACCTCCCCCAAACAACAGTAATCACCAGCTGTGTCTGTATTTCAAGAATGCATTTTTACACGCTCCACCCCCAAAAAAAGGCAAACACACACAGAGTACCAATTCACTCAATTAGGCCTTCAAATTAAAAGGGGTATCCTCAATTATGCATCAGAATTCATATAAACAGTAATCATCATCATCTATGTCTATCTTTCAAGAATATATACACAGACATACCTCTCCACCCCCAAAAAAGCACACAGAGAGAGAGAGAGAGAGAATGTACCAATAATAAGGGGTATGATGAAAGGTTGGAACTTGCAGAGAAGGAGCTGTAAGTGAAGAGCTCACTTCCAATTCCAAATTTGAAGTCGACATTTTTTCTTAAAGAGTTTTTTCTGCAAATCTGCCCTTCTTGTTTATACTGTGTTTCAGTTTTCACACAAGTACTTTAACGACGTCGTGCCATCCATTTCTTTTTAAAAAAAATTGGACTCAAACTCGACTCTGAGATTACACTAGTTATGTTCTTTTCAAATTGTCCAAAACCTAAATTGCACAATTTTAAACTCTATTATATATTTTTTAGTGTGGGTCAGAAACACACCTAAGGCATTTTGGTTTTTCGAGTTTTTACATAAACTATCAAGTGTGAATTTTCTACCTATTATCAAATACATGAACGATGGTAATGTATTAGGTAGGAAAAAGGCACAAACGATAGCTGAAGTGTCAAGTGTGTTTTGATAAATAATTGATGATAGTTCAAATATAAAACTCGGAAAATTGAGATATTTTATATATATATTTTTTATCATTAACTCTATTTATTTTATTCATACCTTTACAAATAGCAAAATCATCTCATATTTGGTTTGGCATTTACAAAGCTTTTATATTAATGACTCCTTTGTGTTGGGAAAATATATCTAAATTTACCCCTCTATTTTTTAGTATGATTAAAAAATATTCTCATGTTGACTCCTTTAGGAGTTAAGAGGACCTAAAAGATTGATTTTTTGAAATATAGATGAATCGAGTTATATCGTTATGATATTTGAATTAAATGTATTTTATCTTTGAATCAAATAAGCCTAAAAGACAGAATATAGATAATCTTAATTATAATCTCAAATTATTATCCTGATAAAAATTTCAAGATAATTCTATTTTAAACCAAAAACCCCTTAAAATTTAATAAAAGGAAAAGTTACTCAATTTTAGATATTATAAGAGCACAAAAGTACATTATTAGATAATACTATAGTACATCATATAGTGCATAACATAGCACTTTAGCATACTTGTATACTTATGTACATATTGGGCTTAATTGAGAAGCCTCTAGCTGTTGTGAGAAGTCATTTTAGCTGTCCTAGTTGGCACATATTGTATGCCACCAACACGAGTCTGTAGTTTGCGAGGAGTTGCTTCATTTGTATTATACGAGCTTGAAACTAGGTTCCCCCCGTCCCCCTAGTGTGCGAGCAGTTGCTTCATTTGTATTTAGCAAGCTTGTAATTGAACTAGATCATGATCCTAGTTTTCGTGAGGTCACTTCTTTTGAGTGAGTTAATGAGCTCAAAATAGACAAATACTTGTGTTCTGATCCATCAGAAATTGCTTCTTTTGTATTTCACAAGCGTGTAACTACGTTATAGTGTAATCTTAATTTACGAGTCACTCCATTCGCATGAATCGACGAGCTTAAAAGTGTAAATATGATGAAAAGTGCAACTATAGAAAGTAGCATAATTTTAGCCATAGCTTGAATTAAGTTTGTTATATATATATCTCTCAAATGTACATAATGTATTATTAGATGCCCATTTCGGCAAATTAAGAGTTAATATTTTTTTCATTGTTTTTCGAACATTTTGATAGATTTATCTTGTTTTCTTGTGAGCAATTGGATGTTTATTGTTCTATGTAATATTTTTTTTAAATGATTCTTTAATACTTTAACAAAATAAAATGATGGTAATTAAGATAGACTCTATGACTCTTCACAATCCAACTCGCTCTGTTTGGAGCCGTTTCATTCCAACATATATTTAGTATTTTAAGTTCTCCAATAATACTAATTTTTTTTATATTTTCTGTTAATATGTAATCTTTAACTCGGTTTAAAGGACGTCTAGCAAATATTGGGCCTAATGAAAAAATTTATATCAACGTGACCAAGTCTTAATACCAACTAGTTAGAATTATCTATATGAATCTTTTTCTTTCATAATGTTCGATTTCACGCTAAATAATCTTAGTTCGGAAGTGATTGTTGGTTTTCAAGACGATGTAATTATATACTTAGTTCCATGCAATTTTATGTTGACATCTTGTAACAAACTGAATTCCAACAGAAGCACTCTTATATATATTAATTACTGAATACAAGTTACAAGAAAGAATACACACAACAAAGTAATAACACACTAATTACGGATAGCTTAACATAGACGAAGGTAACTAGAAGGGGATGAGATACTAGACCATAGAAAGGAGATGAGAGGATCAGAAAAGCCAAAGCTTCACATAATTTCCATGCCCCTTCTTCTAACTTCTAGTCCTTTTTAATAGAGATACTAATTGGGCCTGGATCCCCAAATAAAAGTATCTAATAGCCCATAGGCCCTTACCAAGTCACGTCGGGTTCACAACAATACTCCCGCCCTCAAAAAGAACTTTGTCCTCAAGGTTCAAGTCATGAAATTCATCCAAAACTCTCTAAATTATCTGACGAGTAACAATTTCCACACACTTCAATGTCACAAGTGTAAAGTGAAACAACATTCCTCCATCCAGCAATGAACTAGGCCAGATAATATGATCTAGATGTTCTGATGTGAGGTGTAACTTTATGTTGTCTTTGGAGAGTATTAAGGAAATCGACATTACTCCCGTTGCCTCTTGAACATATTGTCCAGCTTTAACTAGAACGATAACCCCTCCACAATGGCAAATGTCACTGCAACATACTCCTCTAAGGTGATGTTTGTAGGATAATGCCTTTGGCCGATCCAGTGACATAAGACAAGTAAACTCATTACTTTCAGCTGCCACAGAAACAGACGTGTTCATCCTCTTAGCTACTCCAACAATCTGGTAGGTTCTCGTCCAGTTAACGGTACCACCCCTAGATGAATCATATAAACAACATCCATGTCATGTATATGTCACAACAAAATGTATAAAGAATCTCACACAACAACTACTGATATATTCCTCCATGTTATTCCCCTTTCGCAATAGTTTGTTATCTTGTGGTTGGTGTCGGTGTACTGAATGCACAACCATTCCTGCCTCCAATAGTGCAATTCGAGCATGCCCGACAATGGTAGAATCAATTGCAGAAATAACATCTACAAGCAAATAAATATTAGTGAAGGAGGGAAATGCTTTATCCACTTCTTCGTCTATCTCCCTATCTCCTAACCATATTTTGCTAAACTGGATAGTAATTCAGCTGATTCAAGCACCTAGCTAGCTTTCCATGCATGCTTGCTCAAACATAAACCTCTTGAATGATCTTTCTCACAATGATATCCCCTCAGCGACGTGTATTTTGAAAAACTCTATGATTCCTTTCCAACCACAACTCATAGACAGAGGCATCAAGTGTCATTCTGAAAATAGTAGCAGCATTGCCCTTGCCTTTATACCACTGTATTTCTCCAGCCCAGTTCATATCTTGTCGATGGATTCCTTGCCAATGCAATACTCTTCTCCACACATAGGTTCCAAAGAAGTTTACAAAGTGCTCGCTGCTTTATTCCAGATTGCCACGTTCAGCAAGTTTAATCCCCCTGCGGCCTTTGGTAAACACAATTTCTCCCAAGCAATGAGTGCCTTTTTGGATATGTCTAAGAAATTCCGACATACAGTTTCTATCAACTTAATGATTTTAACTGCGACCAATATGTCTGAATTGAGAATAATACTGATTTTAAGAGTTGTAGCCGATCGACCAGCATAAGAGAGAAACTATGAGGTCACTTTGCCAAGCATTTTTTCCAGTACGTAGGGGCTGGCATTGTACAATATAGGAATATTTGTACGTGTTGTGACAATTATTTAATGAGTCAGATTTTAATAAAGCATTGTATGAGGTTGGTTATATACATAGTATATATGAATAATAGCACTACATGTATTTATATATTTGATGAAGTTGTATGTTATGAATATATGTATGTGAAAATAAGTACAGATATATATACCTTAATAAGTATAGCACTACATGTATTTTCTTTTCTTATCGATTTAATTAAAATATATGTGTAAATAGTCACTTAACATTTTTCGGTGGAAAGTTTCAATGGAAAAATAATTATTTTTTTAGTACTGTCTAACGTGACTAGCTAGATTCATAACGATCATACAAAGTTCAATGTATACATGTATCACCGCTATAGTGGAAAATTGTGAAGAAGAAATATTTGTTCCAATAGCTCTGAATTTTCCAGTATTCTGTTTTCTATACAAAAGCCAATAGAAACTCTCATTTTTGCCAAGTGATATATACCGTCTCTAATCAGATGTCTCGAGTTCCAGCAAAAAAAACCTTTGATAAAGAGCGCTTTTTGTTACACCCCGGAAGTTTCTAAACTAAAATTTGAACCATTCTTCATATGTGTATAGGGCCGTACCAGGTGATTCTTAATTGTGCATAGCTGTTACGGTCAATTCTTTAGTGTGAAAAGAGATCTGGAGATGAATTAAGGTCATAAGAATCCTCTAGCACCAAGTTGAGTTGAAAGCTTCCTTATTGATTGAGTTTCAATATAAGATTTTACTTGGCTTAACTTTAAACAATTATATATCTTCGAATATGAAGAGGTAGGTGATTATTAACCTATCAAATGAAAGGTCTATGAGTCTTCTTTATAACACTATCAAGTTTGTGACAAACAGAGTTCAAAGTAAAACTTTATGCCCATTTGAGTGAAGCCCTGTCAGGTAGTCACAATTTCACGATCGGCATTACGGGACTTGGTGTGTTTCACGGACCGTACAATCATCCATGAAGGACTTGCTGTGATGTTTTTCATAGACTTCGGCCTGCACATGTTCCAAGGGTTATTTTGGTCCTTTCTCAAATTTTTTAACCCTATTCTAAGTCAATTTTGGGTATTTTAAAGGAGGATATCATATAACTAACTAGTTTTCCTCTCATAATCATCAATCTAAACATTCAAGTCTCCAGAAATTCTCTCAAAACTCACTTAGGGTTCCTCTTCTCCATCAAGAATCCTAAAGTTTTCAAGTCAAAAAATTTCAAGAATCAAGAGAAGCCTTTCATCCAAGGCTTCCGAAATTCTTCCATTCCAAGAACTCCATAAAAGAGTTTATTTTCTCAGAATCAAGCACCAAAATTCCAAGACCAAGGATTTCCTCCGATAAAGCTAGTATTCTTCCTCGGGCTC